GGTATTCCTAATATATCTAAAATTCAAAAGTTGACGGTAATTTTTTCATCAACAATAGTGTCAATTGATTTAAAGGTATTAGATCACCTGGCAACACCTTTTTTGGGAAGTTTTTTCGTCAACATCAACTTTTTTTTTCTGCCTGAAGTAACAAAATTATATATATATACATCCAATCATTATCTAGATAATTAAATAGTATATACGTAAAAACTTTCAATCATTTCCTTTTATGTCTGAACAACATCAAAAATTTTTTCCAGTTTGATACATTGTGTTTTTTGGTGCAGTTTTAATTCACTGTTTCAATATCTTATAGTTTAGAAAATATTTGCAGATAGTCATTTTGGGGAATTGAACTGCGTGTTTATGGTCAATCGAAGTTTTCCCCAAATTTTTGCCATAAAACGTTGTTTTAAACACGTTAATCTCGTGAGCAAAGTAGAGCGAGGAACGATTTTCAATATCCGAAAGGGAAATAACCAGACAGAAATGGACACACCACCGAATATTTTCTCGTTGCCGTTTAAATCTTACAAAATTCTATTAAAAATTTGAGCGGGGGTTTATGGTCATATACTTCGGTTGCAGATATTGATTGAATTCCTTTGCAATGCGGCCGTTCCACTTTTTTTTAAAGTTTCCCTTGCTCGGTTTTTTATCGAATATCTAATTCAACTGGAATGCTGAATGTGCGTTTGTCCGCCAAACAAAGTGACTTCAATGCCTGAAGATACAATTCCAATGCAATTTTCTGTTGTCGCATTTTTTACAAGGCTGCGCTTGCAAGTTTGTAGCTGTAGGGGAAAAAAATTCAAAGGGGCTCAATGCAAAAGGGGCCGCCCTTTTCCTTTTACCTCATTGACTCAAAATTAAGGTATCCGACACGTTCGGAAGCGGATTTTAAAAAGCGAAAAAGGGGATAATTTTAGATTTTTAGGTCACTTCAAATAGAATATATATATAAAATAGAAGGGAATTTTGGGAAAAAAAAAAATATTTAAATACAATATTTTGGAAAAATTAACTTAGAATAATCTTTTTCAAAATTTCTTTTTTTGGAAAAAAAAAACTTTTTAAAATAATATTTCCCCTTAAAAAGCTCAGCCCTTGCAGAGGCTCAACAAAAATTTTTAAATATAAACTTAGAATGGGTTTTTTCAGTTTTATACGACAACAGAGGGAGCTATTTTAAAAAAAAAACCGGGATAATTTTTTCAATAGGTGGTAACTCTAAAAATGTGAATTTTCAGAAATTTTGGAGCCTCAGTAGAGGGACTGAGCTATATACAGGCAAAATATTATTATAAGGGAAAAATTTTTTCAAAAAAGAACATTTGAAAAAGATTGTTCTAATTTAAATTTTTTCCCAAAATATTGTTTTTAAAAATTTTTTTTTTTTGTCAAAATGTCCTTAAAAAATTTTTATGCATGTATTCTTATCTGAATGATACTAAATATCGGGAAAAAATTATCAAGGTTTTTAAAATCACGGTTCCGAAGAGTCGGATACCAAGGGGGGTTCTAAAATTTAAAAACAGGTTCCGTTTCCCCCCCCCGAGATGCCCGGGCCCACTTTTTGCAACCCTGCTCTTGCAAGTTCCGTCCCTGAAGGGGGGAGCATCGTCCGGCAGTATTGAAAAAGGAGTTTTAAAATGATTTGATTCTTTTCCCCCCCCCAAAAAACCCAGGAGCGACTTTTTAAGGGGAGCCCCGCCATCGTCTGGCATTATTTGAACAAAACTGGGAAATTTTAATGGGTGAACATTTTGTCTCAAAAAATGAAGAAAATTTACTTTTGCTTCAGATCAAACCACTGTCAGCAAATTTGATCGTCCGGCATTATTCGGTAAAAAACAGGAACCTGAAAATCGGGTTTCAGATTCTCATTCCCGCCCTAACCACCCAGGACTGATTTTGATGGAGCGCGGGAAATTAGCGCTAAAAAAAAATGCTGGACTCGAACCCAACCATTCCACCTTTCCGGTAAAAAATTAAATTTATGGAATTTCCCAAAAATTGATTTCAGATTCTTGTTTCCAACCTCTAGACACAACCGAGGATTCCCGGGCTCCCTGAGCCTGCAAGTTCAGTCACGGGGAAAAGGGGCATTGCGGTCGCCCAGCATTATCGAGGAAAGTTAGGGGAATTTTCAATATCCGTTTTCGATTTTTCCCAAACCCCCAAAATGACCCTAAAGTACTTTTTCAGCTCCAAGACTTTGGGGAAACTCCTGTCACGGTTGCGTAATAAACAGTCCTCAGAATTATCCACAAAGTTGTGAAATTTTTTAAATCAGATTCAGTTGCCTGTCTTAAAACGTCGGGGTCCAAGGCTTTTGGAAAGGGCCCCTGACAGGGTTTTTAAAAAATACGTCGTCCGGTTACCGGAAAAGTTAGGGGTATTTTGGGATAATTTTCGGTTCCACGCCCAAAATTTCCAGGCACAACTTTTATGTGCCTTATTTTCAAAAAATTCTTTCCCATTCACACACGCATTTCAATATTTTGCGAATTTTCCGTTTTCCCCATTCTCCCTTGGCAAAACAAAAAAAAATGACGTTTAAAAAGAGATAAAACTATCCTATATTTTAAGTTGGACGAAATGACAAAAAAATGGCAAAATTTTGTAAGGATCGGGAGTAGTTTCGGGTTCACCGGGCAAACACGGGATAATTTTTATATAAAGATTAACTGTGTTATACCAAAAAACAACTACCATTTGGGGTGTTTGTTCCATCGTCCAAAACACAGTGAGCGCACATATATACCCATGGGTGATTGACCAAAGCGATTTCACGAATATATCATAATAAAAAAGTCCATATTCGAAGAAACTTTGAAATTTATTTTCGGAAGTACTGACGGGGCCCTTTTTGAATGGTGACCCGGCCCAAGTCAATGTAGGGTTTTTTTTAGCGATTGAATTTCGCTTCTTTCCCGTGTTCCGCCGCCAATTCCGTAGTAAAAATCCACAAGATCAAAATAGGGTCCTAAGCCCACGAAATTTGGCAATTGTGGGCCAAAATAGGGAAACCAATTTAAACTGTCAGTCGGCCAAAAACGTTTTTTTCTCAAATAACCGGCGAAATTCATCTTTCTTGCCCCTACAGTAATGTAAGAAACGTAACTCTCTCTCTCTCTTTCTATCTTCACTAGCTTATACCTCCCTCTCAACTTCCGCTCACCTTGCCCCATCACACTTTTCGAAACGCTATCGTCACGCATTCACCAGCTTAATCCCCAAGTCAAACGCGCGTAAAGAAGTTTTACTTCAAAAACAAGGGTATATAATTATTGTCCTATAAAATTATTTATTCATATGTCTGTACTCATATATGCGAAATATACAATCCTATTTGTGAATTAATTGTATTTTAAAAAGGAAACAGTAGGTTTACGATGGCTGAAATAGGTTATAAATACTTTAGATTCAAAATTATTTAAAAATCTGAAAAAAAAATCCGCCCAAACATTGCTCCCTACTTTTTCGTGCCATTTTTGATCATTTGACATAATTAAAAAATTTATTTTTTAAAAAATCTATAAAAAAGGGTTTTATTTTTCTTTTTAAAAAACTACACTCCCTTAAAAAACGGAAGGTCAACAAACGTATCTATGAGGGTTCCTTCTTTACGAACCGCACCACGCAGAAACTCGCCGAAGGTGCCCAAAAATTTTTAAAAGATCCGAGGGGGGCCGTTTTGATCATTTATATTCCAATATTGATATTAGTTGAAAATATATTAATTAAAAATAAGAAAACGCATGATTAATTTAACCATTTATCCCATTGTTGTGAAAACCTATTGTTGTGCATATCTGATTGTTGTCTTAAATTTGCTCTGTCAAACTGTTTTCCGTCTATTAGATTTTTTGAGAGGGTTTATTTTTTGCAGTTTATAACATTCAAACATAGAGAAATAAGCAATCGTTTCAATAGCTATAGGTAAGATGTTTTTTAATTCATTATTTACCAATAAATTGATTTAAATTAATATTCTATTTTAAAAAAACTAAAACAGTATAGTTCTCCATCATTCATTACTAAATTAAATATTTAATACTAAATGATATACTGTTTTTACGGATAAAATTAGATTAGATTTTAGAGACATTTTTAAGCTAACGGTATGTAACATTTATTGATAAATAAATGTTTAAAATCAATTTTATTATATTTTAGATTCTAAGAAGGTAATTATTGTTAAAAAGTAATGAATATATTTATAGGTGTGTTTTTTTAACGTATTATATTAGAAACGTTTTCCTTTTGCTTTAAATAAATATTTTGTATTAACTAAAGCGCGCGAAATTGTTTTTTGTAAATCATTAATCGAAAATAGAAATTTGAAAGTCTTATCCAAACGGAAAAGGAGTTGAAAACAGTATTACACTCTAAAAAAAGGCCTATGCATTGCCGGGTAAACGGAGGAAAAAGAAACTTGTATGATAAGAAAAAGAAGTGGAAATAAGTTCGTAAAAAAATGTTAATGGCATAAATACAGAGCTCACTAACATCACTCCCTTGCAAATACATACTCACAGAAGCATTGCCATCGGGAGAGAAAGGAGAAATTTCAGGAAAAAATTTGCACTCGGAAAAAGCCCGTGCAACACTAGGCTAAATGGAAAGGAAACAAACCTTTCCGATGAAGCAAAAAAAAAAGTGTGTGTTTACTTATGTACGCACGTAAGAAGTTATACTTCTTTTTGGCGTAACAAGATTAAAATTTTCCTAAAAATCTTTTTCAGGGCAAGCTGGGCCAACGACGAAAAGCGGTCACGAGCAGAGTTGAACGATACTAACCTTCAGGCAATCGGACCAGCCAAACCTGATATAATCACGATTTAAATAAATTTAAACACCCCTGTACAGGGACAAAAGGACCAATAATATGGGGAGGGGATCGAAGGCGGGAATGATCTGTCCCGTTTTGCATATAGCAAAGCATTTTCGTATCCGTTCCTACGGAACGCAAAGCAAAGGTTCGCTGACGCGGGGTTATAGCTCAATGGTAGAGCATTGACTGCATATCGAGTGGTCCCCTGTTCAAACCAGGGAGTTCTTCTTCAGGGATGTGAAGAGAATTTTTTTTTTTTAAGTTTTTGGGAAGGCGATTCATTTTGTATATTTCTAGACAAAGCATTTTCGTATTCGTTCCTACGGAACGCAAAGCAAAGGTTCGCTGACGCGGGGTGTATTGCTCAGTGGTACAGCATTCGACTGCAGATCGGAGGTCCCCGGTTCAAACCCGGATGCCCCCATTTTCAGGGAAGAGAAGTAATTTTTTGAGAATTTCGAAGGCGGCAATGATCTGTCCCGTTCTGTATATTTCTAGACAAAGCATTTTCGTATACGTTCCTATGGGACATAAAGCAAAGGTTCGCTGAAGCGGGTGTATAGCCCAGTTGTAGAGCATTCGGCTGCAGATCGAGAAGTCTCCGGTTCAAACCCATATGTCCCCTTCTTCAGAAAAGTGAAGAGAAATATTTTTCTGAGAATTTCGAAGGCGGGAATGATTTGTCCCGTTTTGTATATTTCTAGACAAAGGAATTTCGCACCCATGACGGTGTGCTCGCGCATTGTAAAAAATTTACCCTCACCCTATTTCTCTAACGTCCCAAAAGAAGTATAACTTCAAAAAGTGAAAGGAATTTTAATGGTATTATATAATATAGAAATCACGCTCACGCCAGGAAGTGTTGACACCAAGAAGTGAGGGGAAATTTTCCGTGGGCAAAATGTAATTCACTCGAAATAGCCCGTGCAAGCTATTTTTTAAAACTTTTTTTTAGTAAATTGGTTCATTTTCTACATTACGTTATGCTACAAATTGAAGTTGAAACGGAATATTGTATTACTTCTTTAAAAAAAAATTGATGGAACTTTGTAACTTTAAAAACTTTTGTATTTGAGGGTTTTTTCAAACATAAAACTATTTTCTTTTTTAAAAAATACTTTTCCGTTTTGGGGAGCCGTAAAAAGGCAACGAAAAGAATTGCTAAATGCCAGTGATAATTAATTGTGGTAAAGCAACCTCAACATTCACGAGTGCTGAAGGTAATGATAAAATGTTTTCATGAATTTGTATTATTTTCTTTTTGGGTCTTTTTATGCAGTGAATGTTAACAAATTTCTAGGCTTCTCCCTACAGTTTTTTTTTTATAATTACACTAGCGGTCCCGACAGACGTTGTCCTGTACACACGTCTTAAACCTGAAAATTACAAACTTTTTGAATAAGTTGTAACAATCTGGGCCGCTTTGATGAATTTTTTTTATAAAGAAAGTTATTACAATACCTAACATCACATATACAGTTACCACAATTCGACCTATCGATTTCGTGTGAGTATGTATTTACTATGAACTAAGTTGAATATAGAAGCTATTCTGAATAGAAACTTAAACTTGTTTTGATTAAAGGGTAAAAAGGATAAAACCCAGCTATTTAATTAACAGGTATATTTTTTTAATGCACAAAAAATAAATTTGTCGTAATGCCATTGAATGTACAATGTTTTTGGTTAATCCTTGTGGGGTACAAACAAACAAATGCGATGGTTTGCCAAACCTCGGACATGCAACATATAATTGGCCGTGCGAAAAGTAAAGGTTTTCTAAATTTAAGCCGCAAATTGTCATTGTTTGACCTTGGGATTTATTAATGGTCATAGCAAATGCCAAGCGAATTGGAAATTGCCAACATTTGAATGGGTAGGCAAGTCTGAAAGAATCATTGGGATCTGTGGTAGAAGTACAACTTCACCTTGAAGTTTGCCGCTCAAAATAGTGACCTCAAGATATTGCCCATGATTTTTGAAGTGAAAACTTCTTTATTCGCGTTGGGCACTTTTTGGTAGGGGAAAATCTTATGGGTTCGCGTCACCGACATGCTCATGACTGGCACACGCGCAGTGTGCTGTGCGCCTTAGTTGGATGGGTTAAATGTCAGGCGTTCGCGTCACCGGCATGCTTATAGCAGTATATATGTAGCTATACAGCTGACGTATAGTGCTGTGTATATCTTTTAAGTGGAATTGAATGGATTTAATGAAAAGTTCAATGTGTATATACTGTGCGTTGTTGAAATAGTGTTTTTATTTGATTATTATTTGAATTGTTTAATTGAAGAATCATTGTGCAGAGTACAATAGTAAGCACTAAATAAATATACTAATATTTTTAAGATAAAAAATAAATAACAGAAAATTATTTTAAATACTCGTATTTATTTTTTCGTTTGAAAATTTTATATTATTTAAAATTATTTTAAATCTTCGTATTTATTCTGGCGTTTGAAAATTTTGTATTATTTATTGCCTAGTATTTAACCTTTGCAATGTATCACGCAATCCGGATTAGTATTTCACAGTGGCTTAGTCGTTTTCTTACTACCGTGGTAAAACAGACTTCTAGTTGTTCAATCATATTTTTATCGTGGATTTTGAAATTAAAAATTTTATAAAATCTAATAATAATTCAAGATTAATGTGTTGAAGTTTAAAATATGGTTATTAATGCAAAATTATAATTTATTACCTTATATCATTAAAATTTTTAGTTTAAAACAATGAAAACGGCTCCGACTTTAATTTCATTAAATATTTTATTTTATTTAAAATTTAATATTTCAAAATTATATCAAATGGCACTGTTGGAAAATTGTGTTACGTAGAAGAGATGAAAATCATGATATCATATAAGAATTTGGATGAAATTTCCAAAACTATGTGGACGAAAACGAGCTATAAAATCGAGGAATCTTAGTGTCCGCCTTAATCTTGATGATGATGCTGTGCCAATCACTCTTCATACACACACACATCATCATCATCATCCATACCACTCAATAACAATAAAACCGTAATAGCGAAACGAAAACGTTTTCTACTTATTTCTGCTTTGGCAATGACTATTCACAAATCACAGGGAGTTACTTATGATGCTATTGTCAACGAATACGATCGCAAACATCCTAGAGAATTAGTATACGTAGCTTTAAGAAGAGTAACGAGGATTCAAGGTTTGTTTTTGGTTACTCAAGAAAATATTAGCATCAGCTGAAAATTTTGGATTAGTAGAACAGGAACACCTCTAAATGCTTCTGAAACAGATAAACATCATAAAAGATCAGCAAGTCATCATGAGGATCTAACGTTAGACTTGAAAAAGTTACAAAACAATACACTTCAAACGGTCACCCAAACTTTTCTAGAATTCATCTCCAACCAGAAAGGATTATTGATATTTTCATGAATTGTCAAAGTTTGTGAATGCGGATGCAGCTAACCTAAAAAATGATGCTATCGTAAAAAAGTCCAAATGCTCTGCTTTTGTCAGAAATTCCTATGAAAAACGAAGAACCACTTGATATTCCGAATTTCAACTTTGTTGTAAGTTATAAAAGACCCGAAGTTCCAGCAGCAGGCGTAGCTATTTATCACAATACTCAAAATACGTCACACTTCATTGCTTCACATATGGACATACATACTAAATTCACTAGAAGCATTGGTGTTAATGTTTCTGATATATGCGAAATATGCGTTGTTCGTTGCGACTCCGAGAATGGGCAATACATATTAATGGTTGCCGTTTATATTTCGCCTGGAAAATCTATGAGACAGATACAACAATTTTTATTCGAAAATTTGATTATTTATACAAAAGAAGGTTCTTAATACTCAAAAAGATTTGGTGAAAAATATGATAATGTACCGATGATTTTAAGTGGAGACTTCAGTATTAACCTTGCAGATGATAAAAATCAACCACTAATTGAATTTCTAAACGAAGCAATTAATTTAAATATGTCCAATGATCGAAAACTCAGTACTACAAAATATAAAACGACGATCGATGCGGCTTTTACGCGATACTTAGATAAATGGTATCAAACATTTTCCTTTCTTACTTTGGTTACCATAAGCCTATTGTATCTTTTTGGAACAAAATGAAATAATTGAAAGTACAAAAATCTGATTGTTAAAATTTAAATGTGACAATGATGCAAGAAATTTAAAATAATGTTAAAAATCAAGTACATTGAAAAATTTAAGAAAATTTCAAATATTATCCAAAAATTTTTGATTGTATATATTTTAATTTTATTTCAATTGAATTTTTATATTTTGTCATGATCTTGTCAACTCGTAATATACAGGCTGGCACCAAAAAATGCAATCCCAAAGAAAGACAAGAATATCACAACAAAATTTTTTTGTGATAACATTTGCCAATATCAATTTAAATATATAACTTTTGAAGTGGCCTGATTGATTCAAAGAGACTTTGGGGTTTCTTGGGGTACAGAGAAAAAGCGCTTCCACACGTTCCAAAGTTGATCTGGTGGCAGCTGGGGGGGTAATCTGGTCAATCATTGAGCAACCATGGACCACATGTTTTTTCGGGGAAAGATCCGGGAGCAGCCGGGGGAGAAGCAAATTTAATCTGGTGATTGACAAAAAACCTTTTTACAATGCGTGCCCGTGTGTCGCGCATTATCCTTTTAAATATGGCTGTGGGCCGCGGGTAAGAAGGCGACTGGCTCCAAAACCGGAGATGTAGCGCTGGCTGTTTAAAAGCCGCAAACGAATAGGAGGGGGAAAAATATCCAAACTGCCCCCATACCATAATCGCGGTGGGGCCAGTGTGGGGTGTATAACGCAGCGTTCAGCATCCTCTCCCACGTGTCTCGACTGAATCCGACCATCGTGGTTTGCAGGGAAAAGCTGACTCTTCATTAAAGAACAACTTCATTCCCTGCCACCCACATCCCCATGACCATTGGCGGCGGGCGTCTGGGTTCTTCAAGGGTAGACCAAGCAATGGTGTCTTTCGAAAAGACCACCTGCGTAAACAGGTCGAATGATATGCTACTTGAAAGAGCGTTCAATAATGTGCTGTGCTATGGTTCGTGATGTGACTGAGCGATCCGTCACTGCCTTGCGCACAATTTGCCTGTTCTCACGTGAAGTGGTGCACTGAGTTGGACGCGATCGATCACGTCGTACCCTCCTGCATAAAGTGGTCACATATCCGCATTACAGTTGTTTGGTTTCGTCCAACAC